ACAAATTTAGGAGACACATTTTGCCGAGATTTATGCGGCAAATTAAATATTTTTTCACGCCTAGCGGGGCAAAGGGGAAGAACGTCTAAATAATTAGATACACATTTAAGCTCGACGAGGCACCCAGTGAAAAGGAAAAGAAAGTAAAAAGAGGCGAAGTGACAAGGAGACGGACGGACACGGACACAGCACAACCACATGATGGTGTACGAGGATGATGTTCTGCTCTGGGGGAGGAGTACGTGACCATAACCATAACATGAACTGCTGCCACCGACCTCTGCCCCGCCCACCAACCACCGTTTTCGCCCTCGACATCGCTCTCGTTTTGCGGGTTAAAAGCGGAGAGACGACGACAAACAGGAAATATTTAACGTGCCAACAACAAAAGTAAAATATAAATAAAAATAATAATAATAATGGGCAGAAACGTAGGGAACGCAGCGAGAGTGAGAGCGAAAGAGAGTCTCGAAAGGGTGCTCTTTTGCTCATGTCTCTCGGAATAAATGCCCTTTTCGTATTCCTATAATTTTATATACAGGGAATATCCCGCAGAGAGGGAGAGAGAGAACGCACTCTCTTGGAAATTCTCGGTCGATTTTCCCGTTGTTCCTTGCAAAGAAGCCAGGTTTTTAGGCCATTTTCTCTCCAACGTTCGAACGCGACGGACGCGCCTGCAGAAAGCGGACTGCAGCAGAATCGAAGATAAAGATAAAGATACAGATACGGTTCGGTTCGGTTTCGGTGTGTTGGTGGGAATTTCTTCTGCTGCCGCCTCTTTTTTGGATATATGGATATTTATGCTTCGCGTGCCCGCCCGTAAAAAACGATAGAACGTGTGTGTGATGTGTGTGGATAATTGAAGCAACAACGAAATGCTTTAAGACCGAGATTTAAGTTGAAGGTCGGTCGGTGTTGTTGTGCATGTGGAAAAGCAGCGGAAAGCGGAAAAACGGATCGGAATCGGATCGCCTGCCTGGGAACACGGATAGCGTTAACGTTAAACGTTAGTATACCGACGAAAGGCAGAAAGTCGTTAAACCAAAGAATACGAATACGCCAGCAAAATAAAAGTAATCGTGCATTGCTCCCTCTCTGCTGCTGCGCATGTTTCTCTGCTGCAGCGCTGCCTCAGTGTGCATTTTTAGTTTCGCTCGACTATTACAGCATGCTTTACATTCCGTTTACATCACGTGTTAAATAACTGCTGGCTGTCACTGCTCGCGGCTGGCTGTGAGTGTTTGTGTGAGTGTAGCTGTAATTGTGTGCATTTGTTGTTGTTTGCCCAAGCAAATATGCAATGATTTTTGCGCCATCTCCACCCTTTCTTCCCACCCATCGCTTTCTTCATTCATGCCTTTTATGTGTGTGCGTGTGTATATATATATGTGTGTGTGTGTGTGTTGAATACACACCCTCACATCCAGCACAAAGGCAACTTCTGCCGGAAGTGGAAGTTGCTTTCGTTGTGTGCGTGTGTATCTAATGGGATTTTCTAATAAAATTTAAATTGTTGCCGTTTTTGCCGTGCGGGGTTCGTTCTATGAATTTAATATGACCCCAGAGTGTGTATGTGTGTGTGAATAGGGACCATAAAGCTTTGCTTATGGCTGGAAAATTAAATAGAGTGCATAATTTAAGCATCAACTTTGCGTTGAATGCATAATAAACTACTGCAATTGAAAGGCGCGATCTAAATATAGGATAATTTTAACTCGGCCTCAGTGGCGAAAAACTTCTATAGGCACCTTAGATGAAGGAAAAAGGCCGACGGCAACAGAAAAGTGATTGGGAAAATCATATGGAGTGAAAATAATGCAAGCTTTTACAAATATTATGCATCACTGAATAATTATTACAGAGTAACTATCTTTCAACTTTTAAGTTTTTCGTTGACAATTTCTTTTATTATGACATTTAATGTTTGACTTTGGGGCTAACAGTAGTCTTTTTTCCATTAAGCAGAAGTAATGAAACTGAATAAATGCAACTAATATTACAAATTACTTTTAAACTTTTTTTTTACTAGTTGTGTCTTTTAAATTAAACGTGTTGTTTCTTATTTCTATAAATTAATATTTGTATTTATTTACTTATCAATTTTATATATAAATTAATCAAAACCATAGTTATTTTATTCTACTTTATTAAAAGCATAGAAAAGTATAAAAATGTTTTTAAAAAAAAAAATTGTAGTTTTTTATAAATGAAACATTGAAAATTAAACAACTTTTTATTTATACCTACTTATTTTAAAATAGGACTTCTTAAGGAAGTTGGACTTTTTAAAAAAATTTTTAAAAAGTTCTTAAAACTCTATTTTTTATTAAGTAGAAATATTAACGCTGTTGGTTTATATATGCATATCACTTTATCAAAACGGGTTTGAAATATGTAGCTCAAGAAATATAATTCGAATCACGTAGACTTTACACATCTGTACTAATTTATGTACATATATACATAATCTGTATTTGTGTCCTGAACTCGCGATAACACTTACTACTCCATTTTTGTGGGAAAATCAGTCGATAAGAAGTCTCTTCAATCTTTTCTCCAGAAATATTGACATCTTTTTAGAGGCTCGTAATGGTAAAATTCCAAGCGTTTTTGAATTATTTTGAAAAAAAATATAACTTATGAATATAATTAAAATAATTTTTTACTGGTAGATTTATATATGTATGCAACTTTAAAATTAGTTTTCTTCTCCTCTAATGAAATATTGTCGTTTCATTTTCTGTAAAAAATTAAATGCCATTCAAAAGTGGTTAGTTTCGTTTACCCCATAAACAAAAAAATAATTCAGAAGGAAGATGGACGCAATCAACATCAATCTTCCGTAATAGGCTTATTACAAAAGCAGCGTGGTCGCCGTAATCTGTGGTATCTCCAGGGGTAGACAAACATAAAATATAAAGTGTTTCAATTTCGTGTGTTGTTTTCTCTTTATATTCAGAATTCGGGCTTGTAGATCTGAAATTTCAGTAGGTAGAACGACGCTGGTGATTACGAAAAGGGTCCGAAAACTCGAGAAAGCCGTCGGGGAACATAAAACTTCAAGAGAAAACCCGGTATGATTTTGAGTTTAGAACCCAAGTTCTAACCATTACCACCGCATTTAAAGATTCGTTTAACAAGATACGTCAGGTGGAATGTCACTCCACTTCAAATTTTCTCCTCTAAAATGACAAAAACATATTCTTCAAATTCGTAGCAATCTTATTCACCTTCCTTTAAACCACTTTAACATCCGAGAATGTAAAGAATAAATGTTTGCTGCGTTTTGTTAATTCTATAACGGGAAAATGGGGATAAAATGGATTTCCACGGGAAGAACAGGTTGAGATGTCAACAATTAAATTATATAAATTTATTTATAGATATGTATTATTCAAATTTTTAAATTTCCAAATTTCTTTCAAAAACTAAAATGTTTCCAAAAATTCTGGTACACATTTTGTATGATATTTTTATCATTCCGAAATATTAAGACGCTACATTATCTTATCATAATTTTCACATCCATTGGTCAAAAATACCCTCTTTTCTATAACCAGAGGAATTTTTTTTTGTACACTTTCCGTCCGTTTAGTCGGTTCATCCCGTTTCGTTACTTCCCTCTCCCTTACTCCGCGTGTACGTGTGTTTGACCGAAACCGCACAAACACACACGCGACTTGGTCTACCTGAAACTGAAATTTTCCCGCATTAGATTGAGGCCCTTGCCTTCCATTCCTCTTCTTCCAACTTCTGCTGTTATGTTGCATGCGGACAGACAATCGCAAAGAAGGTTAAAGAGAGAAGGAAAGGGAAGAAGGAACTGGTTCACAAGAGGAGAGGAAAACAGAGAGGAGTTTGCCTTTATTTTCTTCCTTTTTTGGCTGCCTATTTCGTGTGCTCTTTCTTTCCTCTTGTATTCTCCTGCTTTTTGTGTTTACTTTATGCTTTCGTTTATCGACCCGTTTTGTATGTTGTTGTTTGTGTGTTTGTGCTACATATGCGATGTACGCTCTCTTTCTCTCTCGAAAACTTACGCTCTTATTCTTTCTCTTGCAGCATAATTTTCGGACTCCTATTCGCATAAAATTACTTTAATCTCTTATGCTTTGTTTTATCTACGTTTTGTCAGTTCGTCAAGTCCATGAGTAAAAGATTAATTTATTTTGGAATTCCCCAGTTTTGTTTTTCTCACCGCGCCTTGCACTTAAATTTAAGTTTCGTATCTGTCTGCCTTTGAGTGTTGATAGCTTTAGGAAATTTATCAGCTGTTATTGCTTCTGTTAGGGCTAGCGGTAGTTTTGGGCGCTCTCTAACACTGCACACCGAGCCGGATAAATACTTGTGGATTATTTAAGGTCGTTTAATTATTAGGAAAAGAATTTTTTTTAATTGACAAACCAAAAAAAAAACACAATTTTAACAAGTTAGTTATTTGGTGCGTTAAGTATCGAATACTTAAAATATATGTTACACATCTATTTAACTAAAAAAATAGTGCGCACACTAGAGAATTAAAATTGTGAACAGTTTTCAATTAAACATAAGCATAAAACATAATATACTTCTTAGATGTTAAGTTTTATGCTGTCATAGAACGGCAGTTTAAATTTAGAGGGAAAGGAGGATTTTTTAGTTCAAAATTAAGGTTGGTCTAGAGAACTTGGGGTTAAACCGTTTCAGCATCTGGTAACACTGCTGGCAAGCAAATAAACAATCGAAGAAAAAAAGAGAAAAAAAGCGTGTAAAAAAAGACCAAAGCATAAAAACAAACAAATTAAAGGCGCAGAGCAATGTAATTGTGCAATTGGTGAATTAAAATTAGCAAGTGATCATTGTCCACTGAAAATGCAATCCCCTTTCCTTGGCCCTCGTCCAAAAGGTGTGGCTATAGAGTCAACTATAGCCATAGTGGGGCCAGTGAAATCCCTCCGAGTATCAGTAGCCCCCAACAACAGATAACGCCCATACTTATCAAGTTCCCCTCCTCCTTTTTACAGCGGCGTTGCCACCTCACTGAGCTGCACGGACTCCAGCACTGGCTCCAGTGAGGATGCGTCCGATCCCGGCTCACCGTACAGTGCTCTCTCGCAACTGAGCGACCCGCCCGACCCGTTCGCTAAGATGCCGCCACAGATACTGGGAAACGCCAGTGGAAGTAGCTCAACAGCGGCCGCTTCTCCGTCTTCTAGCAGCGCCAGTCAGGCGACACAATCGCCAACCATCCACCATAGTCATCTTAGCCAACACAGCTCCACAAGCGGCATGCCCAAGCCAACGACGCCCCAGCGCCATGGCAATCCCAGCATTGTGCCCACGCTCCAGTGGCCGTGGAATACCAGTCTGGGCAGCACATCCACCGCTGTTCCGGCCGCCACGGCCAATAAGAATAAGCGAACCGCTGCAGGATCAGGAGGAGGAGTAGGAAACTTAGGCGGAGACGGTGCCTGCATTACTGGCGGAGGAGCGGCTGCAGCCAAAAAGGCGCGCAGCGAACTTGCCGGCTCCTTTGACGCAAGTAAAAGACTGAAGGTGGCCGCAATGGAGGAGTCGCAGACCAAGATCACCGGTTTCTTCAAGTCTCAGATGAAGCCATCTCCAGGCGGCGGAAAGCTTTCACCACAGCCCGGCCAGCACAGCAATCCAGCCAACACGCTAACCATGAGCACGCCCGCAACCACCGCCTCGCTAAACAAATATTTCAATATTTTGTCGCAGCTAAAGGAGCAGAAGGCCCAGCAACAGCAACAACAGCAGGCAGCGAAGGCGTTGCCCACACCAGCACCAGTGGCTCCGACCGTGCCTGCACCGCCCGCTACACCTGTTGTCACTGCCAGTCCCAGCTTGCCTGTGCCAGCGCTGAAAAAGATTGAGCGCAGCACCAAGCAGCCGGCCAAAATTGCCCAGGTGGCCCCCAATTTGCGTAAGACACCAAGCAGTGCTTCTTCTGGCAGCTCTTCGTCATCCTCGTCTAGCTCCTCGAATGGCTCGAGTACGGGCAAATCACCGGCCAAGAAGCACGTAGCCATTGCGCCCAGAACGCCGGAAATGAAGCAGCAGCAACAAGGAAAGGCCGCTATGGTTTACCGACCTCCGTTAACAAGTCCGGCCCTGAAGCAAAAGCAGATCTCACCGCCCGCCCCAGTGGCGGCCACCGCACCCGCCCCAGCACAAGCACTTAATCCGTCGCCCGCCCCCGCTAATCCTACGCTGTACCAGCTGCCCGTTCAACTGCCCAATCTAGTCCAGCTGCCGCCCCAGCTGGCGGCCGCCGCCAATATAATGCAGCTGAACAATGTGGCAAAGGCAGCGGTGGCTGCGGCGGCTAACAATAATGCGGCCGCCCAGGCAGCGCAAGCTGCACAGGCTGCGCAAGCAGCTGCCGCCCAGTATTTCCTCAACGGCACTGTCTTTAAGCTGCAACAGGTGACGACGGCCACGACGACGACGGCCACCACTGCCACAGCTGCGGCAGCTCCAGCTGGCAACCCTTTTGGACTCCTTAATTTAGCGACGGCGGGCAATCCCTTCGGCATTCCCAACGCCAGTGGACAGTTTCCCATTGACGCCATTCCGGGAGCTGGAAGCTATCTTCATCATCAACTGCTTCTTGCCAGACAGAACAACATGAATTTAAACGGTGATTATTATAAGAGTTTAATCTAAAGATAACTGAAGATTGTAATTTTTTAACGTCCTGAACTAATGAGTGTTTATGTTCCTTACAGAAAATATGGCTTCCAACTCATGCGGGAACATGAACTTTGTTAATCCGCTCAACAACCAACAAGTGGGACTCAAAGATAACAAATTATATATAGTGAACTCGGCCGAGTACCTAGGTTACTTAATGAGCTTGCAGATAGCTCTAAACAACCAACAGCATCAGCAACAACAACTCATATCTGCCACACAGCCGCCACCATTGGCGGCCACAAACAGCAGCAATACGAACACCACTGCCACTCAGCCGCCACCATTGGCAGCCACGAACAACACCAATTCGAACACTGCCAACAACTCGACTGCCAGCAACAGTAACAACCACAATGCCTCGAATAATCTAAGCAACATCAACAACACTGCCATACAGCCCCAGCGGGCGATAGTGAAGCCGCCGATGCACAGTTCCACGCAGCCGCCGCCGCTGGTTACTATTTCGTCAATGCCCGCTTGCTCCCCAGTAGCTGCCTCTTCGCCAGCAGCTAAACGTTCACTTCCCGCCGCTAAGCCATACCAGAAGCGGTTGACAGCAAAAGGCAGGGTGGGGGCGGCGTCTATCATTGCTACGCCCACTACGCCCCCGCCTTTGGTTCCTACGTCGGCCACAAAAGAGCTGGGCCAGCTGCGGAAAAGCACGGGGACTATTGGGCCGCAAACAGCCACGCCCACACCAACGCCACCGCTGGTTAGCATCGCACCCTCAAAGCTGACGCCCACGCTTAGCGTTTCAAAACAAGGACCTACGATGAAGCTAGCCAATAGTGCACCCGATCTTTTTGATCTGGTCAAGAACTCCAAGGTGGTGGCCAAGGTGTCGCAACCTCTTACGCCATTGCCCTTTAGCTCTCCAAGCAGCAGCAGCAACGGAAGCCACTGTCTGCGGTCTTCGCCAGCCCTCTCCACCTCAAACTCTTGCACCCTTTCCGCTTTCAGTAAGATTAAGATGGAACCATCGGAGCTTGCTTCACAGATCGGCTCCTTGCCTTCTTCTTCGATGCCTCAAATATCACTCAAGCCTCAGAGTTTCGCCGGACATCTGCCTAAGAGGGAGCCGGACCCCGAGTCGAGTGCCGAAACTCTAAAGCACGACCTTTTGCCAGACTGCACCAACAGCAACTCGAACTCGAATTCGTGTAGTAGCAGCAGTTATTCCCACTCAGTCAGCTCTGCAGCAGATCTCTCGCTGGAGGCCTCTACACCCGCCCCATCTCCGTCGCCTTCAGTGTCGCCCTCCGGCTTGGGATATTCCTCGCCGGCGGCTAGCAACATGAGCGGCAGCAGCCGGCGAGCTGCCAGTCAAACTGACATGCTCAGCGAGCTGGTAACTTCGTCGTGCCTATCCAGCGGTGGTGATGACTGCTCCCAGGCCACAGACTCTCCTTCAACGCCGACACTTCCATTGCAGCTGGTCAAAATCGAGGACACGACCACTCCGATTTCCACGGCCAGTGGCGGAAGCAGCAGCGGGAGTAGCAACTACGACGAAGAGGACGACAAGTCGGTTGCCTCGTTGGAGACTCATCAGACGCACAAACGGCTGAGGGACCTGCCCACTCCGGAGTCGGGTATTGGTGGAAGCTTAAGCAACAGTGAGAGCAGCAACTCAATAGCGGACGCCATGTGAGTAGATTTTACAATCAGATATTTTGCTAGTGGTCGCCCAATTTTTAATCGTTTCAAGCTCTTAGTGTTTTTGACAACCTTGTTAATAATTTCTTAATATTCTAAACTAATTCCAAAAAATTCCGCAATATCCAAACAGATCCTCCAAGTCTGCTTCTGTTGGACCACCCACTACTGCAGCGAGCTCCTCCTCCGCCTCAGACAGCAACTCACTTGCAAGCAATGCTTCTTCTCCCGCCTCTCCAGATGATTGCTCTGCAGCTCCTTCACCAGCTTGTTCCGCGTCCACTGCCGCCTCTATTCCACCCAGCACAGTGGTAGACATAGCTATGGTCGAGGCCACCAGTAAAAGTCTGCCAAAAAGTGCCATTTCACCTATACTCTCGCAACCAAAGACCATCCGTTTCCCGGCTGGAGCAGGTGCTGGTGGCAAAGGCGGGAAAAGGCACGACGGCGTCTGCTATTGGGATAAGTGCAACAAAAAACATGAGAGCAACTCAAAACTGCTGGACCACATGCAAACGCACCACGTCAATACGCAGACGGGCCCTTTCGCATGTCTCTGGGTGGGCTGCAAAGTGTATAACAAGGAGTCATGTTCGCGCCGCTGGCTAGAACGGCACGTGCTATCTCACGGTGGCTCTAAGCAGTTCAAGTGTATTGTCGAGGGCTGCGGCCTTCGGTTTGGCTCACAGGTGGGTTTCCTTCTAATCAATTTGGCATTTCACTTCTGTAACTCTTGATGTAATTCCTTTTTCAGTTGGCGCTGCAAAAGCATGTAAACAATCACTTCAATGCTACGGACAATGCCAAGGAGAGCACGAACAAGCGCACCTCCGATCCGCCCGTACCCAAACAACTTCGCAAGAATGGCAAGAAGCTCCGATACCGCCGTCAACCTTTCTCAGGTAAATTAAAGTGGCACATACTCGATTAATAGTGTTTAAGTAGGATTTTAGCAATTATCGATTAGAACTCCAACTATTACCACTTTTTACTATTTGCTTAAAATTATAATATCCGTACCTAATTTTTTTTAATAAAAAAATCCTAATCGAAATCTTAACTTCAGCTCGCATGTTTGACTTCTTCGACACGGGAATAATGGAAGGGCTACAGCACCGCCTACGCCAGATTAGCACCCTTACGAACGGAGCCCAGGCCATCGAGTTCCAGGGCCAATGTCTGATGCGTCGGCGCAACAGCCAAGGCGACTACGAATGCTTTGTGCGCTGGTCCCCGCGCGAGATGTAAGTTACCCTATAGGACTGTCTTTTTACTAGACTATAATTGCTTTTTCTATTCGATTAGCATTTCTGACGAGTGGCTGCCAGAGTGTTCCAATCGGACGCGCCAGCACACCAAGGTGTTGCACATCAAGCAAATGCGACCAGCTGAGAAAACGCGAGTGGACAGCTTACTCAGCACGGCCTTCAGACTACGATACGATTCCCAATTATTCGCAGACGATTATAATGTCAACGAGCAGCAGATTGGCGGGCTAAGCGGTAGCGATTGCGAGGAGGATGAGGTCGAGGATGAAGATGAGGAGGAAGATGAAGACAGTAGTTCGCGCAGTGTGAGCTGCGAGACGGTGTCTAGCTATCAGCAGGTACTAAGCATCGCCAAGCTACAGATGCAACAACGTAGGAAGCACCCGCGTAAACCACACAAAATGACACCAACTGCGAGGGAGCTGATTGTTCCAACGGACGCCCTGGTGCCCATTTAAGGCTCTGCCAGATTTATAGTATTCACTAAGTAATTAAACCGAAAAAGAAACGACAAACGAGTAAACAGTGACAAGTAGACTAGTTAGTTAAGTTAAGTTAATACCTACGTATATATCCATTTATGTATAGAAACTATAAGTACTCCCGCTTTGTTCAATTTTGTTTTGTTTGGTTCGCGTGACCAGGCGTTTATTTTATTGTTCTCATCCATCGATCCTTGTAGATATTTCCGGATGGAAAGAAAAGTAACAGTCAGGACCATTTAGTGGCCACCTTATCGCATCCCACCCGCGCGTCTAGCAAGTGCTGTTATGAACGAATGTCCTAATTCCTAGAGTTCTAGATTTATTTTAGTTTTAAAATATATACTTAGTAGAGATTCATCTGGAAATGCCGGACTGGACAAGACTGGTTCAAAAGCTAATTTTATGTTGAACTTTTTTAAAATTTCAAGTTACACTTCGTTTTCATTTTGTTGCCCCTCGTCGTATTATATTGTAATTTTATAAACTGGCCAAACTTACACTGAAAGCGGAAAAACTACGCACATAACTGAGCAGTTAAAGTTTTAGTATAGTTAAGGTACGTGGAAGAACACAAGACTTGAAGCATTTACCGCTACAAAATACGAGAAATATTTGTAAAACATTTTGTACTCAACTCGAACAGCAATGCAAACAGTTTTAAGCCTGAGTTAGACCCAAGCCCAAGATGATTTTACATTAATTTAGTGCAAATAGAATGCAATATTCGCCAACTCATCAGCGTCTCAGTTCGTTTTGTGAAAATTTGAAGAGACAGAAAAGCTAAATGCATAATGTAAATAATATAATATAATATTAACTAGTTTCGCTTTTAAACTTACATTAAAAATATTCATTTAGAACTTAGCCAAGGCAACCCCAATTAAAATATCCAAAATAAAGTTATCGAAAAGAAATCCAACAATCACAAGCAAAATATAACAAAATAACTTAATGTTTTAATTTTTTATGATTTTACGGCAAACAGAAACATTTTGATGCTAACGATGCCTCTACGACATTATCTTACTACTATATTTTGTGTACATATCCGAACAGCAAACCAAACATCCGTAGCTAATGAGCTAAACGGCATCCGAAATGTATCATTTTCAATACCAATAAATACGTGCTTAAAGTAAGTAAAAATCGAATCAATGAGATGAGAAGAGAGATGCAAAATATGAAAACAAGAGTACTCGACACTGCCAAAAATGTAATTAAACAACAAAAACCCAGTTGTTAAGAACGACTGATTAATTTAGTGTGCGAACTAATTATAAACTGATACATCCCAAATTCCAGCTTGAGCACTTTCCCTATGTTGCACAGTAATAGCTCGCCAATAGGCGAGTATATCAAATATATCTATGTGCTGTCGTGCGGTAGATGTAGAAGCGTCTCTGTGGTTAGTTTAAGCTTACAATGACGAAGAAAGAAATATATATATTAACGTACGTGTATATCCCCATATAAAGAATATATAAACAGAAGGCAAATGTCGGGAGGACTTTTGAGCCATATACATGTATTAAAGCAATACTCTTACGATAATCGCTGATCAAGCTGGTTGACTCTTCCATTCGGTTAGTCTTTCAATGCCTTTCACCCGAGTTCTTCAACGCTTTGTACTGCAGAATATGAAGAAATCAATGACTAATGGAAATAAGTATTGAACAAGAATCCATAAAAAGGGAAAAAATTCAAATAAAATAAAACTACCTCAAATTTTTGCAAGCATAAAACGTAAAAAACACAAAAGAATTTTTCGAGACAAGTTTTCTAAAGCGAAAAGCAAAAGAGTATATAGTTGCAGCAAACAGCGTTTTATGACAGATGTGGCAGATAACCGTATAGATCCGAATAGGGCAGAGCCGAGAAACAAGGGAAAGTTAAAAGAGTAGTACACACTAACAAACAAACAAGGGGAAATCGTAGGCTAATTCCATATTTTGCTAATATTGCGTACAGTTTGTAGGATAAGCAGCGATCCAGTTGAACTAAATTTACATTTGCTTTCCGATTTCAATCCGTTCGGCGGTCCTTACCGAGGCGATTACCCACATTTGCATTTGCCTTTAGCCCCGAGTTCAGATTGAGTTTGTACATAGATTAGTTTATCCAATACGAGATATATATTAATTATCATAACCATAATTTTAATATTACAACCGCTTTAATGAATTGTCGACAGAAATAAATTAAGCATCTATAATTATGGTAATTAGCAGGCGTACATAGAGTATACAAACGTATACAGGAAAAGCATTTCCGGACATACACACAATTATTTGGAGGTATATCCTAGTTGATTTTTGATGGTTCTGGCCAAATCAAAGGCGGAAACAAAACCACAACAGCAGCGATCTTGCTTCGATTGTAACTAATGTAATCAAAAGAATTATATACATATATATTATTGAACTCTATATACACAACATAGTATGTACAAGTGGACTCAAAAATGATTCTGAAACCGATGAACATGTAACACGCTGAGGAATGAAAAATATATAAGAAATAAGTATTATGCAAGCTTGGTGGTTTTATTTCGGGTTCAGGCGGTTATCCTTAGCGATCTTATCCGAATGGAGGTCTCAAAAAATGGACAAATTACCAATCGCTTTAAAAAGCTAAACAAAATATTCGTACAGGTCGGAACATCATCATTAAAAAATAACTATTTTACCATTACATTACCACGATAATGTTCTACACTCACAGTTACCTACTGACTAACATTTTAAAACGTTTTTGGTAAGAATATTAAAAAAGAAGAGGAAACGCTATAGTCGAGTGACGCGACTATAAGATACCCTTTACTGTTTTACAAAATTTTAAAATATTATTTTGCTAGTGGAAATTCACAATGCGCCACCTATTGTCAGAGGAAGTACGTAGTTATAGTGACGTTACTGCCCATGTGAGGCCTTATAACCTTAATTTCTTTATAATTAGCGAAATAATGTTCCGATTTGAAAAATCGGATAGATATTAACAGAAATAAGTTCCACAAGGTCAAACGAAGGCATTCATAATATTATTATAGACGCCACAGTTTTCCGCGGTTTGTGGGCGTTAGATTGTGCGTGGCGGGATGCAACTTCGTGGCAAGTTGCAGAGGCATCTTTTTAATACGTGTTCCTAAGCAAAATTGTGTAACTCTTATAGTTTTTGAGATTTTTGCATTTTTGGTTTTTCGGGTTTTGTAGGCGTTAGAGTGGGCGTGGCTTGATCGGAAGAAAGCAATTCGCATTGGGAGCATCATAAAAACCTACATGCTTAATTCGAACTTTCTATCTCTTATAGTTACCGAGATATAAGCTTTTCTAGAAAATCCGAAAACCGTCTTTTGAACCTTGTGGCTGTATGGGTGGGTGTGGCCATATAGTAGTACCACTATAAGATACGCTGGCATCTAAAGATTATACTTTCTGAATTTCAACTTTCTAACTCCAATAGTTCCTGAGATTTCAGCAATTTTAGTTTTTTGCTATTTGTGGACGTTAGAGTGGGCGTGGCAGGATGCTGTAATAAACTTGCGCTGTCCCGGGACCTCAAGAATCTTCATGCTTAATCTCATCTTTGTATCTGCTATAGTTCCTGAGATCTCAGCGTTCATACGGACGGACGGACAGACGGACATGGCTCAATCGACTTCGCTATTGATCCTGATCAAGAATATATATACTTTATAGGGTCGCAAAAGCTTCCTTCTATCTGTTACATACTTTTCAACCTTTTACTCTACGAGTAACGGGTATAAAAATTCTGCTTAATTATTTTCTCTTGTCATATTCAGATCAAATGATTAATTAATTGAAGTCGCACAGGCGCATAGAAATTGCCAAATGTTAAAATCCCATTTAAAAATAATCATTTTGCGAACATATATATATATACCTGATATCTTAGCATTTATACGGACAGACGGACATGGCTAAATTGACTCAGCATTGATCCTGATCAAGAATACATATACTTTATAAGGTCCGAAACGCTTCCTTCTACCTGTTACATACTTTTCAACGAATACAATATACCCTTTTACTCTACGAGTAACGTTTATAATCATTTAAACAGGAATCTGCAAAAATGTTTTGCCCCAAACCTACATAACAACAATAGCTTATAAAAAAAATCTTACCGATCACACTCATCTTTTGTTAAATTAAAAATCAAATCAAATATTCTTAAGCATGTATGTATATATTACATACTCAAAAGGAAGGAAATAACAAATTTCTTTAATTTATAATAGTAGATATTTAGTTAAAACACGACAAAAAAATGTGCAGATTTATTTATTTTTATTTGACAAAATTAAATAAATATTATACAATACTTAATCTCAAGCATTTCTTAAAGAGTACTAGCTGCTAGGGCCTACGACTCGAGATTAAAATGATTAAATTAAAGATACTTAAATATTAAGTTTGGTTCTAATGACAAAATGGCAAAAGTTCATAATGATTTCTTGTGAAATTATATTTAAACTATCGGAAGGTTTTTTTTTTTGCCGAAAATGAGAGCCCTGACGCTTTCCAGAAGACGGCATGAGTTGAGTAGATGGTGGTGGTGAGGTGTTCGCCGCAAGGGCAGACGGGAAGTGGTGTTCCAGTAAGGATATGTTCGTGTGTTGCACGGGTGTGCTCGATACGAAGGCGGATGAATGTTGAATATGGCCGCTTTCCAAGGTGCGCTGGCAGAACAATTTTTGTGAAGGTATTGTTGATGGAAAACTTTCGGTGGTCATATAGGTCCCATTCTCTGATTTGTTTGTCTTTAAGGTGGAGACAGATACGATTTCTTAAGTCCTTTTTGTTGAAGGGAGTAAAAAGAAAAGATGGTTGCCATGGATACCTTGGTGGCTGGGCCGTGTTATCTCCACGATTGTGGGATCTGTTTGACCCCAATTCCGTAAATAAGATAAGGTGGTCAGCAGATTACAAAGTGTAACGAGTTTTTGGTGGCAAAGAGACAGGCTTATAATATGGCGAAGGCTTCCGCAGATGTAGTAGAGCATTTTTTGTTAAATGCATTTTGCAAACGAGCTTCATGGTCATTTCTTCTCTGCGAGCCTGTATGCTCGGTAGGCCCGACTCAGGCAAAATGCATGCGGTAGGTGAGGTAGGAAAAGCGTTTGTAGCACGTCGGATTGCATCATGGTATGGAGCCATGTTCAGATTTATTTTACATATAGTAAAAGAAAGATTATTAATAAAACAAAATTGGTACATATGCATTTAATTAACATTTTCCATGAAATACAGATCCATTTTTTACGTGTGGTTTTTAGAGCATTTTATATCTTATTTAGGTAGAACTACTACCCAATTTTATTGTCTTGTTTATAGATAAGACTAGTTCTTGGTTAGCTTTTTGCTTTTTATCTGTTCCATAGATTGAAGAAAAAATTTCATAGCGCCCACATAGTTGGTATCCGAAACTACTAAACTGACTTTGTAGACTCCATAAGGAAGCGGTGGAAGAAGACTGCTGTCCATATAGCCGTTTCTTGCTATCAGTTGAAAATGTAAAGAAAATAAATAAAAGTAAGAAGCTTGTATATAGATATACCGAAAATCGGCAGAAATGCTTGACATTTGTAAAACGCTTGAACAACTTCCAGTTTTTGACGCCATAGGGTATAGTTTCTTCTTTCGATGACGTCACACAAATTGATTGTCACGTCAACTAAGAATGGCTTGTACTTTAGTCCTTCATAAAAACCTGAATTCGAATCTGAAATTAAAGCTTTTAAAAAGTATTTAATCTAGAATACTTTAAAGTTGACTTACAAGTGGTTTAATCAATGGAAAAATCATGAAGCAATCCATGTTCACCACCGCCTTATTCCAATTGATCGTCTTGACACGGCAAAAGACATTACTCACCCTCGTCTGATTAACCTGGCAGTCAATATTGATTAGCTTATGAACTACCTGGG